TAGACTGGAGGTGGATAGGAGATAGTACGTCAACACCAGTCCTATTCAATTTCTTGTTTCTCAATTGAGAGTACGACAGTATCGAAGAATTGGAGGCATTCAGAAAATCGGCCAATCCGCAATGGTCTCAGTCAGGCATATCACCACTCGTTTCTCCGATGCTCGAGTTCCTCGGTCAAGGTTAGTTGTATGCTTCCGTGTTAATTTAACCCAACCACGACTGACGACTCCAGAGGTCGAAGAACGTCAAACGACATGCGACACTATGAATACATACATGGAAGAGCTGGGGCATTTCAAGTCTCCTGATCGTAACGAGGAGGTAAGATACATGTTCCACTCATCGAAAATTGGTCATTGACTGGAACAGTAGACTGGCGAATCTATGATTGGTCAGTACGATGATCTCATTGCGGCTTGCAAGGCGCACGAAGAGTGCCGAGAGGAAGCGAGTTCGACCAAAGCTGTGAAGGATATGCGGCATTGGCATGAACAAGGTCCCAATGGAACCGACGGCAAATACCTGGAGTACATGGATGACGAGGAATTAGAACAGTTTTTATTGCCACTGCCGGGTTAGTGACTAGACCTGCATACTAGAAACGGTGTTTTCATGTCATTCTAATCCTACAGAACGAAATTACCGAGAAAGCATTGTGCGACAGCAGTCACTGGCACGTGCAACCAACACATGGCACCACTCCCAATTTCCGGTATTCGCAACTCGTAATAATCTCACTCGACCTATGGATGACCTCTTGGATATAGGAGCTCTTGGATCGTCACCAGTCACGCACTGAAGAGATCAAAACACTGATGGCTCGTCTGGTTACTGAACACAGGTATCGATACGTTTCCTATTGGGATGGACGATTGGGTTCTCTAACATCTCCGAACAGTCGGCTTCTAACAGGGTTGGTCGGACAACTCGAAGCAACCAAGAATAGCGTCTACGAATTCTCGTCGAGCTCGTTCATCTCTTCGGCACATGACCAGCGAAATTTCGAGTCTGATCATACATACATGAAGGAAGCCGTTCATGTGGATTTTTCGAATGGCACAACACGACCGTACATTGTGTTTGGGACGGTGTCTCAAACACTGATTAGCGGGAGACATGTCACAAAGGCAATGGTGAAAGGACTCATCTTGGTGTGTCATTCATCTGAATCTATAGGCGCAATCAGTAATAATACGACGGTTTGGGTAGTACAAGATGGGCTATTTGTGTCCAGTCAAAGATAGGGCTCTTGAACTAGAGGGGTCTTTGGCAACGCAAATAGGATCCCAGCTACATTCACTCTCACCTCACGATCTAAGGATACTATTTTCTGTGACTATAATTCTCTTCCTATCTATAAGTCATGCTGACCTCATAACAGTTCGGCTTGCTCAGTAACCCACCATTGATTCCACTCCTCGACGAGGAAATAAAGCGGTATGGGGGTTAGTAGAAGTTACTTTATCGTACCACTAGTCGCTAACTATTATACATAGATGGTGTACCACGCAACAAGATGCAGATAATCATGAGCAGGGTCACGAAGCAGGAAGAAGTAACAGCGCTCGTCGATATCCTACCCCCAGACTGGTTTCGTGATAGGTCGTGGCTGGGTCCCCTTTTCACACATAGAAAGGTAGGGCTCTTCCATCGTCGAGTCCCAATTTACTCATGAATTCTAGGGTACCTTGAAGATTATCCAAGACATCTACTGTAAATGGGATTTCAGCAACAATCGACCGTTGCCTCCTGGGGTCAAGCGGGAGGTTTAGCGTGGAAGATGAGGGGTAACTTCTTCCTTCCCCTCATTCTCGCTAGCACACGATGTATTTCGTTCTGACTCTCCTTCTCCTATTGATTGAAGGAAACACGAATGTATGCAAAAACCTGTCTTACTCTGTACCTAATCTCTGTTCATACGAAGGTTGCATACATATTGATTTTGTATTTTGGCGGTGAGAGAAGGTCTCCTCATATCGAACAACCAACCGTCACAATTCACCCCAACAAATCCTGACAGTTGCTTGGAAACCCAAGTATACTGGTTGTTGTTAGAATTCGAATGAGAATATCGTGCTTTGGTGCACTCGAAGGTTGTATTGCCGCAGCCACCAGGATGCTGCCAGAGGAATGGTGGAATGGGGGAATAAACCTATCAGGTAAGCGGAACACACCTTTTACCTTACCAACATTCCCTCGAGAGGCTCATTACAATGGCGACACGGAAGAATAAATAGCTCGCATTAGCCGATAAATCATACCCGTGTAAACAGCATTCGATGTTGGCGCCAACATGGCATTTGGCCGGGCTCTCCTTCGACTAATAATAGATCAACTGTTCAACTCGACAACGCCGACCTATGTCCATGATGCTAGAAGTTCTCCCAGGAAATACGTTGAAACGTATCACAGAAGAACACCGACATATGGACGAATTTGTGGATTGGATGAAGCGACGGTGAATTTGTTCGTGAACGTAGTTGAATGCCAGTTCTGATATCTAACCCGACAGGCTCGAGCTAGATAAGAAATAGTAAGTCACATCTTCTGTAAACAGGTGACTCTGGATTTCGAAAACGACAGTCTCGAGGAATTGAAGACGCTCAGGATGTCGGCCAACCCTCAATGGTCCCAACCAGGCGTATCACTACTCATTTCTCCGATGCTCAACTTTCTTGCGCGAGGTCATCTATACACTTCCGTAATCATTTAACTGATAAATGGTGCAGAGGTTGATGAACGTCAGACGGCATGCGAAACCATGAATGCATACCTGGAAGAGCTGAGTGATATCAAATCTCCCGACCATAACGAAGAGGTGAGATATATGCCTTGCTCATCACAAATGTGATAACGAACTAGAGGGGCAGACAGGCGAATCTATGATTGGTCAGTACAACGACTTGATTGCGGCATGCAAGAAGCACGATGAATGTCGAGAGGAGTCGAGCTCGACAAGAGCTGTGAAAGACATGCAGGAATGGCATGAACGAGGTCCCAATAGAAACAACAGTAAATTCTTCAGGAATCTGAATGATGTCGAGTTGCGTCAGTTTGTATTTCCACTGGCTGGTTAGTGACTTAATCTACATATTAGAATTAGTGGTATGCTCATGTCAATTTATTCCACAGAACGAAATTATCGAGAAAGCATCGTCCGACAGCAGGAATTGGCTCGTGCCGTCAATACATGGCACCAGTCCCAATTTCCGGTATTCACAACTCGTAATAACCTCACTCGATCTATGGATAACCTCTTGGATATAGGATCTCTTGGATCGTCACCAGTCACGCACTGAAGAGATCAAAACACTGATGGCTCGTCTGGTTACTGAACACAGGTATCG